TAAGTTGGAGTGTCTTGTGCTCCTGGCGCCGTCTGCCCCTCCGCCCGCGCTCCGGCAGCTCGGGTCTTCCCGCATCAGTGTCCTGAGTTGCGTCTGAATACACTTATTTTGTATTATTTTTTTGCTTGCCTAATTTTTAGTTGGATGCTGATAACTATGAGACTGATCCGTGTCTGAAAGAGATTCGGAGAGCAGAAAATTATTCCTGGATGGATATAATAACTATACATAAAGACAAGCTTCCCAATTACGAGGAGAAGGTACGTGGTTCTGCTTGGGGTCCGCAGGCTGAACCTGCCGCTGGAATGTGCGGCTTCTCGGCACTTGCACCCCCTCAGCAGGGGCACGAAGGTCACATTTCCGTGTGTAAAATACACCTTGTGCTGAAGCCCTCAGCATGAAAAAGGCAGTTTTGAGATAATTTTTAAAATAGTAAAGCTCTGTTTGCGTCTGTAGAGTGTCTTCAAAGGTTTTAAGGAGAGTGTAATTTCAAAACTTAAGATTCCCACCAGCAGAGCCCCACCAATGCTGACCTGTCCTTGGAGAGCCTGCCTGAGCTGAAGGCAGGCAGCTGCCAGCTGTGCATGGCCTTTGAAGTCTGGAATATCTTAACAGCTGCTTGCAGAATACATCTTCTCAAAGTGAATGTTAACCTCGTGAAATCAGGGGGACTCATTCTCTCTCCAGGAAGGTTTTTTACTTTGGAAAACTGGTACTGTAGTTATTTCATAACAGCTGAACGCAAATGATGCCAGGTTCTCACATGAGATTCTTAGAATCAGCTTTCTCCTCCTGAGTGCAGGTGTGCTGCTCAGACCCGAGGACAGCAACACAGTGGCACTTCTATGTTTTAATTGCATTTCCATTTGCCAGTTTATTTTAAGCCTATTGTGTTATACTGGTTAAAAATTGATGAGAAGGTGAATTAAGTAGTAACTCAGGTTGCCTGAGTGGGCTGTACCTGCCGCAAAGGTGGGCCATTATTGGCAGGGCATACGGACTTCTTATCTTGCCCTGCTGGGTCAGTACTGGCTCAGGGACACCTGCACTAGTGTGGATAAAGAGCATCCAGGCCTGAGCAGGTGATGGCACCTGGCATTGCTCTGGGCTTTGTGCCCTAGCCTGCTCAGGTCTCTGTTACTTGAACCTTTAAAGCATGTTTTGTTCTGTGCTCTGAAGTGTACAAAGAATTAACCATTCCAGAAAGGATGAGGGTGTTGCTGCTGCTTTCTGGGAGGAGAGAGCCTGGAGCTGGGGCTCAGTATGGGGGCAGGCCAGTGTGTGGGCTGGCATGACGTGGCTGTTTATATCAGATTGCCATAGATGAGCCATGTTTAGCAATAACTTCATTTTCAGATAAAGCTGTAGTAGCCTGTGGGTCTAAGTCAACCCTACACCAGTGTCAAAGAGGGTGTGTGGGGGGCGCGGGGAGTAGGATAATCTGTAGTTTGATTATTTTTACATCTTGGGGGTGGTGGAAAAAAAAGGCAGACATTTTTTAAACTGAAACCTAAGGACTAAATCCTGTGGTGGGAACATTTACCTGTCCCTTTCTCAAGCAGGTATAAGCATTACTATTAATCAGAGACTGATTTTGAGCAGCTGTAGCTGTTTCTTTTTAAGATATCTTCCAAAGGACATGCAGCAGCCTGCTTAGAAGTGTCCTGAGACTGGGTCTGGCTGGCTGGATTGGCCATTTTAACCATGTTAGTCTCAGCTGTTAGTTAAATCACTATGCAGTTCCCATTTCAAAGTTTTTGTCTGCTTTACCACATGTTTCTATCAGATTTCTTTGCAGTTCTTGTGTGTTCAGTAGTTTTAAGAGATATACTTGCTATTCCTAGATAAAAACATTTTATGAAGAACATTTACACCTAGATGATGAAATTCGCTACATCTTAGATGGATCTGGCTATTTTGATGTTCGAGACAAGGATGACAAATGGATCCGGATTTCTATGGAAAAAGGAGACATGATAACCCTCCCTGCTGGCATTTATCACCGATTCACACTGGATGAGAATGTATGTTGTTATAGATTACTGTAAATTGTGATAACAAATCCTTATGAGTGTATATCACATCAGTAACTACATGCCCTGAGATTTGAAGTTCATTAGCAAAACATATTAAATATGGAGTAGGAATGTGAAAAATACTAAATAATTCACAGCATCTGAACCTTTAATCTCCAGGTCACAAATCTGGCTTCCCCTTGTCAGCTGTAACTGCAAGTTATTGGCACATGTTATCTGTAGCATATCTTATGTGACAGCAGCATGAGAGCCGAGCCCTGTGGCTGTCCCTCCTACAATTGCCCCTGTTGTTAGTGTGGATGGATCCTTCTGTGCTGCCTTGTTGTGTATCTTCATGAGGATAGACAGAGCATATCCATGTCCAGCAGGGTCATTTTCCATGAGTGCTGAATTCACCTTTAGGGAGAGAAGTCTTTAAGGGTCCAGAGCCACTACTTGTGGCTAGCGTGTGCTAGACTGGAGGCTGGCTTCCCAGGGAAGTGATCTGCTTTTGGACTATATTTTTGGCAGTAGGATTGTAGGATCTGCATGTGTAGTCCTATCTGTGCAACGTTCCTTGTGGCTTTTATAAATATCTTTGTAATCTCAGCATTAACCTTGTAAAATGGGGAAACGTGTGCCATCTTCTGTGTGGCAAAATCCCATTTCTGGGATAGTCATGAGAATGGTACCATTTTGAGTCAGCTGTCCAGATAGCAGTTATGTATATATAAAAAAGGGATATGCTGTTTTGGTGAAAAACCTGACTTTTCATGCCTGCATTGTGAGGTCCGCAGCAATTCAGCTACAATTGCCATCTTAAGGCTTTTTCTTTACATAGACAAAATGTCCAGGGTTATGGGTTGAATCTGCAAGAAGCCTTAAGTACTTGTCTACTTCAGGAACTTCAGTTCAAAAGAGCCATCCTCAAAGTAAACTCTTCAGGTATGTCTAGAATCTTACATTTTGCAGCTAAGTTCTTTAAGTACCTAGCTTTATTCTTGATGTTGCTGAGCACCTGGCTGAAAGATAAGCATATAGCAGTGTTTACAAAATAGGTAGGGTCTAAATCTGCAGTGTAGTGGACTGGAGAGGAGAGTTCCCCATAACTCAGTGGCTGGAGTACTTCTGTACAACTTAAAACCTGATTTTCTGCTGCCATAGGTGGGCTTTTGCCCTTGGCATTCTTTTGGTTAGTTGGTGGCAGGGACTGTTGCTTTTTATTTTGGAATCTGGAGAATTTTCACTTTGTGTAGCATTATTTTTTTGCTGGTTTATGTACCCCCCATTCATCTGTTGTGGCTCTCGCTTTGAAGCTTCTAGTATTCCTCAGGCATTGGGTACCCATTTTAGGTATTCTGATTGCTTTTGTTTAAGTAAGCAGTAGGAATTACATGCTGGATTGATCAGAATTGTGGATCCCATGAAAAATAATTTGCATAAGTCAGGATTTTTCTATGTCCTTTGAAAGAGGGAGAAGTACTTTCTCTGCCTGACCTGGAGGTGTTATTTATGACACAATCTACCACTGTGTGTAACATACTGGTGTAGCTGGGAGCAGCAACAGTAGTGTAATGGTGCAGTGTCCTAGAACTTGGATACTTTCAGTCTACCTTGAAATAATTTCAAATATTGCTGCAGAAGTGCAAATGAAACAACTTCAGAATTAGGATTCTATGGAGGGGAGCTCTTCAATTACTTGTGACTTCTTGTTTTTTGACAGAATTATGTGAAGGCAATGAGGCTATTTGTTGGAGAACCCGTCTGGACAGCATACAACAGGCCAGCTGATGATTTTCCTGCACGGAAACAGTATATGAAGTTCTTGGGTGAAGAAGCACAGTAATAGTGCTGGAGACCTGACAGGTGGAACAGCCTGGAGCCCTGTGAAAATAAATACAACTGGTGGCTTTTCACTGATTATACACTTCTTCTGTATACTTATAGACATAGAATAGCAGAATAATAGAAGATTTTAGGTTGAAAGGTCATTTGGAGGTCATCTGATCCAAGCCAACTTCAAAGCTAGACCAAGTAGCTCAAGACCTTGAGGTTTGGAAACTTCCAGTAGTGGAGGTTCCACATCCTGTTTGGTTGCCCATTCCAGCATTTAACTGCTCTTTTGGGCAAGCATTTATTCTTCATGGACAACTCTCTGATTGTAACTTGTGATTGTTGTGTCTTGCCCTTTCATTGAATGCCAGAGAACAGTCTGACTTCTCTGAAGTGCCATCTGTAGTGGAAAACTGTAGTTAGGTTTTCTCTCAGTCTTCTCTTCTCCAGGAGAGACAAAACCAGTGCCTTTAGCTGGGCTCTATACACCCTAAATTGTTAAGATGATCAACACACTTTGCCATGATTTTGATTACTGAGGAATGCCACTTGAATGCCACCTGATGGTTAGACTTGGACCACTGACTGTTTTGAGGCTGACTGTCCAGATGTTTTTCACCCACATTGTAGTTCATATCCTCCACCCAGCTGCAAGGCTACCATGGAGCAGGCTGTTGAAAGCCTTGCTGTAGTCAAGGTGAATGAAATGCGTTTCCCTTCCACCACAGAGCCAGTCATGGGTCATGGCCTCTTGGATGGCAGTCAGGATGTTCAGACAGAATGTGCCCTTGTTAAATTGGCATTGACTGGTTGTTGCCAATCACCTGGTATTTCATGTGCCTGGAACAGCTTCCATAATGGCTTATTCTTCAGATTGCATGAGGACTGATGCTAGGCTGACCAGCCTGTAGCTCCTCAAACCTTTTTCTCACCTTTTTGAAGGTGACTGTACATTTGTCTTTCTGGTCAAAAAAGATTTCCCTGATCACTGTGACCTTTCAACAACGCCAGCAGCCTTTCAGTGACTTTAGCCAGTTGTATTTAAAATTGCTCAGGGATCCATTTTCTAACCTTTTTTTTTCCTTGATATTTCTGGCAGATGGAATTGGGAGAGGTATGAATTCGGAACAGAATGAATATTAATGAACTATGTAAGATTCTGTTTTTAATTAAATAAAATAAACCTTGCTTCATTCTTGTCTAAAAATGTTCGTAAGATAAATTTGTATAACCAGCATTATAGTACGCAGCTTCCCTAATTGTGCCATCCTGCATAAAGCTGGGGTTTTCTCTCGGTAACATGTAGAAATTTGCTCTTGCCAATTAATAAATTTACTTGGGTATGGTGTTTTTTCCTCTTGTGCTGACATTAAGGACATATCGAACAATGGCTTTACTGTAGTTGTTACTCAGCTTCTTTTCCTTGTGCTGCTACTGACTTTTCCAAACCACTGGACAAATTGTGTCTGAGGCACACAGTCATGCTGGTCCGGTTTTCAGTAGATGCCTTGTGGTTGTGCAGAACATACAGCTCCTCAGCAATCAGCACAGGAGCATTTTGGTATGAATTTGTTGTTTACAATGGCAAATTGTATCAGTGGGGCAGATATACTGCTTGCTCCAACTCTTCATGGATGATGATGAGAAAATGGGCTCTGCGTTGGTTGCAGCTTGTGTGTTGATTTTGGCTAGATACAGTGCAAACACCTGTCTTGCAGTTTCCTGAATACACACAACTGTAGAAATAAGACAACATTTGGGCTTATGCAAATATGTTTTAGGTAGCAGGCAGTAGATTATTGAACTTTCCCACTGTTCTTCCTTATGAGTGTACAACACAACCCTCAGCAGGCAACATTTTCCTCCTTTTTAGCAGCATTGCTTTTAACCATTTCTAGGGACTATTTCTTGAAAAATGTTTCTGAAAATGCAGTTCAAATTTTGATGTGAAACTGCACTAGCTTTCATCTTAGAAGTTGTAAAAGGTGAGTAAAAAAGGCAGGTGGTTCCTGCCTTAGTGTCTTGTGTTGCAAGCTGGATGAGATGCCAGTGGGGCGCAGTGTGTGTGGGGGTGTGCAGGCACAACCCATGCTTGCAGAGTGCAAGCCCAGCCAGTGCTCTGTGCAGCTGGCTTTTGTGTAGCAGTTCATAAGCCTGGCTGAAAAATTGGTGCTACTAGCAAACACAAAGTTCATCTGTAGTCAGACATGCACAGGGTAGGCTTGCATGGACACTGCTGTGCCATGTCATGACCCTCACTGGTTCAGGGATTTTTGTGCCACTTCCATGGAAGAAGCACTTGGGTGTCCTCTTACACAGCACAGAGGAGCATCCTGGTCCTAGAATAAACTTTGGGGATTCTTTGAAGTACAGCTACAGGAGCAAGTGACAGTTAATGCCTGTGGCAAGTTTTATTTCTTTGAGTCGTATGCCACAGAAAATTGTGTTTCTGAATGTAAAATGACTGCTTTCTGCTGGTGATGGTATCAGTTCCTAGTATCCAATCTTCCTGGTTTTGGTTTTGTTTCATTTTTGTTGGTTGTTTTGTTGTTTTTTTCTAACAGATGTCAACATGAGACTGTTTGTTCCTCCTATGGGCCTCTGCATTTTGATGTCTCTGCAAAGAAGGAGGTGGGGGCAGGGCTATGGGCTTTCAGGAACCCCGTTTACTGCAGAGCCATCATAACAGACTGAAGGAGCAATGGGGAAGAGAGCAGGTAACGCAGTCTCCTTGGGAGGGATTTGCAGTTTGGAGGCAGTGACGAGGGATGGATGGGAAAGCAGCTGCCTGCGGTGATTGCTTTCAGCAGCTCGCTGATGTAGGATGTGACCTGGAAGCAGGACTAAACACCACCTTGTTTAGTCGCTTCTCAGGAGGAATATATATACCTGGCTGCAGCACCCATCTCCTGACTGTCAAGAATAACACATGATCAGACTGCTGACAATCATTCATCATTTTCGTAGCATAATGATGCTGTGGGGGTCTTGCTGTCAATGCTTTTGAGTCCATGCCCTTTAGTGCCACAGGTGTCTTTGAAAGGGTGAAAACTTTGCTCTCCAGAAGTGTTTGTCAGCCAGGACAACTGGTATAAAGATTCTACACCTGTGAATAGATTACATAGAGATTACACTGGGAGGAAACAGAAAAAAATGTTAATACAAATAGAAAACACTCCAGAGAGTGGAGAGGAGGGAGGGAGAACATGCTGTTCCTTCAGATGAAAAATGCAGTTTGTTTTCATTGTAATTTTTTGTGCTTGTGTTGGTTTTTTCTTCCTTTTTTTTTTTTTTTTTTTTTTCACATACCACATATCTAAAAGTGAAATCGATTTTTGGTCCAAAAATATGAGCCTGTTTTACTGCAGCTAGTGGAAAATCTCAGTGCATTGATGTAGTATGAAAATTTATGTAAGCGCTTCCAGCAACATCACACTGGTAGCATTAACTCAGGCATAGGGAGTATTTCAACTCCTCCAGGATTAGAGTTAAAAAAAACGAACCAAACAAAAAACAAACAAACAGAAAAAAAACCCCAAAAAACGTAGGAGAAATGGTACTGAATTGGTGGGTATGAAGATAGCTTTTTTGATGCCCATGTATTATTTTCCACTTCAATCCAAACCTTTCCTAGATGGCTCAGTTTCTCATGACCAGCTTGAGAGAGAAGTGGCCTTGTTCTCTGCAAGTAAACAACAAGAAAGCTGTGGATGATCAGTGAGCTTTTTAATAAATTAGGTGGGCAAACATGGCTGTAAAAATTTGTGATGCTGCGCCCCCTTGTTACATGTCCAGGAACAAGTGTCCTTGGCTGGGTATCTTAATGCAAAGACATTTCACAGCCAGTTAGCAGTTAACTGCTAGCATCCACACCAGGCACTTAGGAGTGCCTACAAAAGGGTGGAAGGAAATGCTGACGGTGAGGAGTGTCTCTCCCTAGGCTGCTGAGAGCAGGGGGTGTGTTGGCAGCTAGAGTCAGTAGCTGCCTGTCTTGGTTACTGACTTGACAGGTATAAAATCTTTGTGCTGGCAGAAGAGGCACTTCCCTGCCTTATTTCTGACTCCAGTTTTTAGTCTGAACTAGGAACTTATGAATAGGTGTGACTTCCTGACAGTCATACCAGCCCACAGATGCCACTGCACATAGACTGAGGTGGCAGCCAAGCGCTGCTTTGAAGAGTATCCCTAATAGCTCAATCATGGATTTAGGTATTTGGCAAGGCAGGGGCTGTGGGCCTCACCTGTGTTATGCTTGGAAATGGTATCTGCTTGTGAGTCATCCCTGTGAAAATGGTAGACGTTCTCAGATTTCCTCCCCACTCTCCGAAATAGCATCACTGCTGGTTGTCTTCTAATTCCTGAAGCCAAATCAATGTATCAACTCCTTGGGGGATGAATTAGTGGTACAACTTCAATATTCCTGGCTCAAAGATCCAGATTTGATCTCATTTGCTGCACTAGTCATGACTTCACAGCTTGATTACCAAAACATTTTGTGTGTTTACAAAAATATGCTCTGCTATACCTGCAATTTGAAAAGCCGATTCTTTATGTGACTGAGTCATAAGTTGTCATTTTTTTATTAACTGTGTAAATACCCAGATAAGACAAGGAAAGTTTTGAAAACCTAAATGCTTAGGAGAAGATTCAGCAGGGAAAGGGCAGTGATTCTCTTTCAATGCTGGCTTCCCCCACTTCAGTTCTCTGGAATACCTGCATTAATTTTGAAAAGTGGAGTGTGTGGCAGCATCCTGAAATACTTGCTCACACCCTGTACTGCAACTAGTGGCTTTGTTTTGTTTCTCACATAAACAACTCTAGTAATTCTATTCTGCACCTTTTTACTTCAGTATTTTCAGTTTAACACTGAAAGTTTTCACCATTTTTTCAAAGCCAGGGAGGAACCTACCCCCTCCTTCCTTCCCTGCCTCAAGCAAATCACATCCCATTTTTTCCCTTTCTGGGGGCAAATTACAAGCCATGGTCACTGGCCTTCAGATGGAAGATGTATTAATTTTAATTACTCATACATAATAAACGTCTGCAAGTGATGGCCCAAAGGTCGGACAGGATCAGATGTTGATCTAGAGAAG